GATGGATTAGAGGATGGATGGATGAATAAATGAATTGATAAATGGTGATGGATAATGCGAGAGTGATAAAATGAACATGGAATGGATGGATGTATGCAGGGGTGCATGCACGCGGATTGAATGTAGGCTGGTGGATAGGTGTATTTGGGAATTATAGCTACGACTTGACTCTAACTAATGTGCTTTTATAGATAGCTTCTCCCTTATTTCTGTTAGAATACCCAGCGGCTACTTTGGCTTGTTATCTAATGTAGTCAGACGGGTACGCGATGGAGCAGAAGCCTGGCCCTTCCTCCAATTTTTCATCAACTCACAGTGATTCGTAGATCAATTAGCTTGCTTTGTTCACACAAGACGCATAATTTTTGGCTCAGAGATGAGCCTGTACTCTCATCTAAATACCCTACCGCTTCCATCATTTGCTGAAGAAGGTGATTATTACGGTTAACATAAGACGCGTGAGACTAAATGAAGGAAACTGCGTGCATTGTGCACTGAGAGGCCATTGAGCAACATTGAAGAAGCCGTTGGGATTGGTGCAACGCGTAGAAGATGAGTGCACCTGCGTAAAGAGTTTGGAGGTATTCATTTTTGTGCTTTGCTCATGCTTAAATATAATGCATTGATTAGAATTTTATATTGCCTCCTAGGTTACGCGGGCACTTGAGACTTCGTTCTTATACTTCTGATGGGCAGCATGGACTGCTGAATATGCCGGTGGCCCATCCCTTCTGTGCGTGGGAATGTGCTGTGTATGATGTAACCCGTGTCGACCCTTAACAGAATGGTTGCACGTGACCCTTGGTAAATGTTCGTATTTCCTGTTTTTAGGAACGCTGCTAACACTCGTTAATTATCTAAAAAAAATCTTGTGACGGAGCTGTTAGCGGTGCCTCTATGAAGATTCCCACTAGGTTAACCCGCGACACACACTTCAAGCGTCATACGGATGAATGCCTAAAGACGTCACTCTTCAAAACAGCCTTTTTTGAAAATGATTGAGTGAATTCCGCTGGCAAAGTCTTCTTGAATCTTTGCCCCCATTCCTTCACCTCAACGTTTTCAAGCGAATTATGAGGCTTATTTACATTTGGTTAAATCCAATTCTACCATTCCATTCACCTGCCGTAGAAAAAGTAGTAAATCTTTTCTTGCAAACCAAAATTAGATGGTCACAGCCAGTTGTAGAAATAATTAGCGCTAAATTCTGCTTCTTTGAGGTGGATATGATTCGTGTATTGGCCTAGACTGACACCATTTTCCTACTCGCATTATGCATACCAGCACTAGTGGATTCGTTGCCTTCACCCTGTCAGTGCTCTATCACATTCCAAGTCCACCAACATTTGGGGTCGTTTTTGCGCCAACTCATGTTTACAGGGCTGCATGAAGGTGACTGTTGTGCTAGTCATTCACTTGAAAAATGAATTAGAATATCAAATGGCTTTTGACTTTCTAGACTAATGTTTTTAGGAGACAAAAGTAAACGTGCATTTGCATGTATACATGTCCATCTGCCATTGAATAAAATGTGTGATAAATGCTAACATGGAAAAGACTTTTTTTTCATAAAATGCAATTATTGGCCGTTTGGCTAAAAAAACTAGATGGTTGTTATTAAAAATTCTACTAAAAAAAGC